CGTAAATTCACGTGGATCACACTCGCTTGACTTACGACCGCGTGTCGTTGGCATTTTTTCCCAACCAGGTGCAACGATGCAACGAATAGTCATGTCATGTGGGATACTTGAGGGCGGTCGGACATACCAACCAGGTACACCAGCTCGGTAGAGCATTGCGATACAGTCGGGGCTGTCCGTAATTGCACCCATGATCGTCTCATCAATCTCGTAGATTTTGCCGGTGCTGTCGTTGAGCCGGAAAGCCCACTTGGTGTGCCAGTCGAACATGGCGAGGGTTTCCAGATAGAGGCGCTGGAAGGAGCAGATGTGGTAGATCATGTCGCGTTTGGTGAAAGAGCAAAATTTGAGTTGCAGGGCCGCGTCTACAGTCTTGTTCGCCAGGTAGAAGAGACGGCCAAAATCCTTCGTCTGCTTGATGTCTCGGCATGCAAGGTGAAGCTTTTTGGCCTCCTCTCGCAGAAAATCGGCGATATCACCACGCAGAGTACCAAGATCGCGGTAAGCGGAGCCTTTCGCTTCCACGAAGTGGTTATCTCGCAACTCCCACCAACAGAACCCGAGTTCATGGTCTTTGATTTTGACTTCGAGCAGACGCGATCTGACGAAAGGGAGATGCCAATGGGTGTCGATAAACCATTGTGGGCATACAGTGAAATCTGCCCAGGCAAAACGACCGTCCTCTCGTGCCCGGACAGCTCGGGGTCGCAAAGAGATAAATGGCATCCAATCTGCGTTGGGAGATGTGACAATCATCCGGTTGGGGATGGTCTGCCCTGGCTTCAAGTAAGGTGGGGGAACGTCTGTTTTCTGATGAGGTTTATACGCCTCGTTGAGCTCTGTAATCGCTAATGCGTCAAACACTGTGAATTCCCCTGCATTAGTAGAATGTCAGATAGAAACATCATAGATAAATGATGCTTACCATTGCGCTCGTAGAATTCAAGGGCGGTATCACCATTGTTGTGGTGGCGACGCCCAAAAACGTCAGGGCTGCCATCTATGGGCAACGTCAGATGCGACCTTCTCTTCGTACAGAGAAGCTCACATGTGTGTATCAAGGGTTCCTCGTATTGACCGGAAGATGGCATTGTGATACAAGTCAAGCTGACAGAAACTGTAGGCAACAGTCATTTAGGTGACGAAGGGTTTGGGCCATTGTAAAGTTCCACTTACCCAACAAAAAATTGACCGAGGAATACACAGGTAAAGTAAGTACAGTTATGCGGTTACAGACTATGGAACACAGAATCTATGAAATGACATGTACGAATGGCCACTGAGGCTGAAGACGAACAACTGAAAGTCTGCTCGCTTGCCATCGACTTATAGTCTGATGAAGGATCGACTTAAAGTCTGATCCTGGCTTTGCCGGCTGTTGAGAACTAGATAACGAATGACAACTTACCTGTACCAATCAAGGCTGTGGGGGCACGGGGGACGTAGAAGACGAAGGGAGAAGCTGAAGACCTGACTTTGTTTGGCGTGAGCTTCAAACACCAACATCATGGGGTGCCGCACCTCCGTTTAATCAACCTTAAAAGGTAGATCAAGGTTCATCCCATTTCCTTTCACCCGCTCACCCACCAGGTATGGTTGCCAGCAGACTTTGAGTTGCTGGCTTGATTGACTTGACTTTCAGTCAGATGCTTCATACGTCTTCCAGCCAGACTGTAGTTGGCCGATAAGACTTTTATCGCAACCGTCGACCGCCCTCTATGTGCAATCACATCGATTACAGCAATCACCGTCCACTTGGAGGTACGTCGTTTCCCTGAAACTACGTTATGACTTAATGACCTTGGTTGCACCCATCAGCCTCTCAGCCTCGAAACGCCTTCACCCAAGGCAACGTGTTTCGCATATGTTCGGAAGGTACGTGCTCGAGTTTTTCAGTGGCATTCCTTGCTTACAAGAAACCCCTTTAGCGTTGACCGGTCACAAGTGGCTACCACCTTTATCATAAAACCAAGGCACTTGCCTGTAGAACTGTGTGTATAAGTCCACAAGTTTTATGAAAGGCCTTTCATAGGTGTGTCCTGTGTCTTTCTTTCTCATAAAGGCTATGTTCTTCATAAAATGTAGGCAAAGACCACAGGATCCTTTCATAACATTTCTTAGGACCTTTCATAAAAGCTTTCATAATTGTTATCATGCACTTTCTATGAATATTTCATTGAAGCTGTTCAGTTCTTTCATTGTACTTTTCATAATTAAACCTGTGTGCTTTCAATAGGTATTTCATTCACTGGGTTAGGTGTATTCATTGCCTTTTTCATAATTAATGGTGTGCACTTTCATTGAATATTTCATTAGGAATTTTCGGCGCTTTCATTGCTTTTTTCATAATCAATCCAGTGTAATTTCAATAAATATTTCATTGACTATGTCAGGTGTATTCATTGCCTCTATCATATTTAATGGTGTGCGCTTTCATTGAATATTTCATTAGGAATATTGGATGCTTTCAATAAATATTTCATTCCCTAGGTCAGGTGTATTCATTGCCTCTTTCATTAGGAATTTCAATGATTTTCATTCCCCTTTCATTAATTAATGGTGTGTGCTTTCATTGAATATTTCATTAGGAATATTGGATGCTTTCATTGTACTTTTCATAATTAATGTTGTGTGATTTCAATAAATATTTCATTCCCTAGGTCAGGTGTGTTCATTGCCTCTTTCATTAGGAATTTCAACCATTTTCATTCCCCTTTCATTAATTAATGGTGTGTGCTTTCATTGAATATTTCATTAGGAATATTGGATGCTTTCATTGTACTTTTCATAATTAATGTTGTGTGATTTCAATAAATATTTCATTCCCTAGGTCAGGTGTGTTCATTGCCTCTTTCATTAGGAATTTCAACCATTTTCATTCCCCTTTCATTAATTAATGCTGTGTGCTTTCATTGTGCATTTCAATAAATATTTCATTGGCTAGGTTATATGTATCCATTGCTTCTTGTGCACTTTCATTGAATATTCCACAGCTTTCAATGGGATTTTTCATTGAGTATCTCTCAATATTTCATTCCAATTTCATATCTACCCCCAGGGCTATCATTATGATTTTTCATTATATTCCATGATAGCAATAAAATAGCTATTATGGTCCACATTGGGAGGGTGGTCACATGACCAATTTCCAAAAATGGGAAAAAAAACAAAAGTTGTAGCTCTTCACCATAGCTTTCTGAATCAGTTGGAATTATGTTCTAAAGTGCTTCCATTGTGGAGATATGAGGTAAAATGTTTTCAAAAGTGCCGCGTTTTTTTTTTTTTTTTTTTTTTGCATTTTTCTACATAAAAAGAACACTAAACAACATGATTTCAACAGATTTAGAAAGCTAAGAGAAGGGGCTACAACTACTGTATCGTGGGAAATTTCTCCCAAAAAGGAAGGTACATGCCCTAAAAGGGTAATTGACACTGACAGACTACAAAAGATTGCTCATATACTACAAAAGTCAGTTATAGCCTACAAAGTTTACTTATAGACTACAAAAAGACTACAAAAGTCGGACATAGACCACAAAGGTCAGACAAAGACTACAAAAATTAGTAGTGTCTGCTTTTCTCATTACAAAAGTAATAGTGTCCGCTTTTTGAGATTACAATGGTTTGTAGTGTCTGTTTTTTCAGACTACAAAAGTTAGTAGTGTCTGTTTTTTTCAGACTACAATGGTTTGTAGTGTCCGCTTTTTTCATTACAAAAGTTAATAGTGTCCGCTTTTTGAGACTACAAAAGTTAGTAGTGTCTGTTTTTTCAGACTACAATGGTTTGTAGTGTCCGCTTTTTTCATTACAAATGTTAATTGTGTCTGCTTTTTGAGACTACAATAGTTTGTAGTGTCCGCTTTTTTCATTACAAATGTTAATAGTGTCCGCTTTTCTGACATATAGTTTGTAGTGTGGTTGACTATGTATGTATAGGTCATTGGGGATATGGTTGAAGGATTGGGATGAGTTGACATTCTGCCACTCATGAATAGTTGCTTTTGATGTCAGGTCCATGGCTGTTTTTCATACTTGCAATCTGTCCTGTCCTTTCACATGAGAAGCCACTATCCTATCTTTGATGTTGGTCAACCTTCCACTCAGATCAGTATCTGCTGTCCTATGTCTGACCACAGTCAATTTTCATACTTGCAATCTGTCCTGTCCTTTCACATGAGAAGTCACTATCCTATCTAATCAAAGGGTGTGTTTCACATGAATCCTGGATAGACATTGAGACCCAGTGAAAATTGACCCTGTGCAGATCGGGTTTCTCCGGATCAAATCGATATATTTGCCAATTTCCAGCCATCTCCCCTGTTCAGATCGGGCTCCACCGATCCATTTGGCCATTTTTTAGGGTTGATTTTCACTGGGATTGAGAAGCAGAGAGGACCAAACCACCTATATACTTCACTTTTGATACCTTAAATCAATCTA